CGGCGCCCATGGCCCTGCGAGCCGCGCGCTGCGCTCGGTGGGTTTGTACCGCCGCCGAGCGCCGTCCGTGGAGGCTTTTCGGTGCCATGTGTTTGCTGAGGCTTCCCCGCGTCACGCAGGAGATGGAGAAGGAGGAGGAAGAGGTGGCGGCGCTCATGGCGCAGGTTAGAGGGGGTGTGGGGGGTGTTGAGGAGGGCTGCATGAAAAGGAGGGGATTCTGCTCCTCTGTTCGGCTCTGGTGAGACTCTGCCTGGAACACCCTGTGCAGTTCTGATGCTCTAAACATAAAAAAGACGATGAACTGTTGGAACAAGTCTAGAGAAGACCATGAAGTTAATAAGACAAGTGGAGCATCTCCTCTATGAGGACAGGCTGAGGAGGCTGGGGCTGTTCACCCTGAAAAAGAGAAGGTTGAGTGGAGACCTCACAGCACCTTTCAGTATCTGAAGGGGTTACAGGGAAACTGGAGAGGGACTCTTTGTTAGGAGCTGCAGTGACAGGACATAGGGTAACTGATTCAAACTGAAGGGAAATTTAAGTTAGATATGAGGAAAAAGTTTTTCACTTGAGGGTGGTGAGATGCTGGTACAGGTTGCCCAGGGAGGTTGTGGCTGCCCCAACCCTGGCAGTGTTCAAAGCCAGGCTGGATGAAGCTTTGAGCAACTTGGTCTAGTGGGGAGGTGTCCCTGCGCATGGCAAGGGGCTTGGGACTAGATGATCTGTAAGGTCCGTTCCAACTTCTAAAATTCCATGATTCTATGAGGGAGAAGGACATCAGGGGCTGGCAGGTGTGGCCAGTCCCTGGTAGCACTTGTCCAGGTGCTTCCAGGGACTGGTCATGCCTGCCAACCCCTGGAAAAGCCTGTGACCTTGCTCACACACTCCTGTGATATTCCTCTGCAAGTGTTCTGCTTGCTAATAGTTCTGGTGCATTAAGAATTCTCTATATTGCCCTTTTAGATAGAGCAGGAGAAAAGCTGCTATTCAGATCATGAAATCCGTAAGCTGGAGGAGGAGGAGCAGCTGAAGAAGAGGAAGGAAAGCTTGTATGATGATGATGAAGGATCTGGCAAAACACTCATCATGGCTCAAGACCTGGAGGATAAGTGGGAGCAGAAGCTTCTGCAGTTCAAAGCTGCTCCACGGATAACAGGTACAGGGTGAAGTTTGTGGTGGGTGAGAACACACAGATTATTTGCCAGAGTGTGATTCAGTAGAAGGAAGGCATTTTCAAGTCTTTTTGGTTTAAAGAGAGTCTTGGCTCTAGCAGCACCATTAGCACATGACCAGTTGTCCTGATCCACAAAAGCAGAGGGGATTTAAGACTGAATATATCCAGAGCAAGACTAAGACACAAATGAGATCTGACAAGAGAATGAGTATTCCCATGCTGCAAAGATTTGTGTGTTCATCCTTACCAGAGCAAAATGATGAAAACAGATGTTGTTTCTAGACAAGGAAAATGTTTGGTCACTTGGTTCCCAAGCTCTGCCTAGTGCTTTTGTTGATTTTTGTGAAGGTAGAGATCCAGGCTGCTTGCTATGAATTCCATCTGGGAATGAAACAGCAATGGGTTCCAACTACATCCTGCATTGACTTCCAGAGCAACTGAGAGCATTCC